CCTTATTAATTAACTATTATTAATATTGATAAATATATTTTTATGTATATGTATGTACGTTATATACTTTTTTATTATTATTATTTACATATTATTCACACGATGAAAAACAAGTTGGCATAGATAAGCGAAGAGAGTAAAATAAACAAACAAAGTTGAAAAAAAGGTTTAAAGTAAAAGTAAGCAGGAAGTGCGCATGTAACGGGAATATAACGCTGTGTAAATTTTATTTTTTTTTAATTTTTTTTTTTTTTTGAAAGCAAATGTTAAAACACAATTTTTCTTAAAACTACAATAACTTACGAAATTGCTGTTATGCTAGTTTTCGAAATTCTGCTAAATTATTTTTCAAAATTTATTTACAAATAAGTAAAAAATTAACAAAAAAAATTAAATTACTTTTCCATTCCTTAGGGTTAAAAAAATAATAATTTTCCAACTCAATACAGCATTTTAACAAACGAAATTTAAAAACTGCTATTTGTCAAAAATGCTTTAGAAGAAAGAAAAAACATTTAACATTACTTTTCCATTCTTTATTCTTAAAAAATAATTATTATATAATTTTGCAATTCAACACAACATTCCAAAAACCGAAGTTTGAAAACGTCATTTTAATATTAACAACACAAATAGAAAAAAAACATGTTTTTAATTTTTTTTTTATAAAATTAACTACAAACAATTTTCCTTTAAGTAATATAAAACAATATTTTTTTATAAACTCAAACAGCACTTGTTTTTTGCCATCTCTGTCCAGCAGTAAACTTTACAGTTTTATAGAAAAATTCGTAAAAATACACACATAGCGAAATAACAGTTACTAAAGCATACAACATTTCCTCATTTGCAATAAAAAAAAAACTTTTCTGTTCTATTAAAAAAAGCTTAGCTTTTCTATAGTTTAAATCGAAATAAAAATGCAAAATATACATAAAATGCGTTGAAAAGTGAAAATGAAATCAATGGCGATTGTATTACAAATCTGTGCTTCCTTTCATTTAAGAATGTTAGCATAATTTAATACTAGTAAAGAGAAATAAATATTAAATAAAAAAGGATAATTTGTTGAAATAATAAAAAAAAAATATTTAAAAAAAAATGGTTTATTTATTTTCAAACAAAAATGTAAGCTGTAAGTACCACGCGACCCGAAATGGCAATTATTTCCATTTTTTATTTAGTTAGTTAATATTATCAATCACAATGGGCCTCCTATAGGCCTAGGTGCGTCATTGGACAGCCACTCTACCTACCTACCCTACCTAGTTAATATTAATTTTTTTAATTTAATTTTCCAATTTTCAAAACTGCAATATATTAATTATTTACCAATTTTTTCATAATTTTTTTATTTAAAAACAGTTATATATTTTTTTATAATTTATTTTCTTTTTTTATTTCGTTAAAATCCAACAATTTTAAACTTTCAACGTTGATTTTCGAATTTTATAAATTTATTATTTCAAAATTTTTTTCTTTATATATTTATTTAAAAATAATTAAATATTATTTTAATAATATTAAATATTATTTTAATAATTTAATTTCCATTTTATTTCATTAAATTCCAGCAATTTTAGCCGAAATCAGCATAATTTACCCAGTCACAGTGCATTTGCACTGTAGTAGCAGCGACGCCAGCAGCGGCGGCTGCGAGAACGCGACCAGCCAAACTCACTTTTTCCCCAATTCCACCAGCCACCCATAAACTGCATATAAGCAGCAAGCAACCGCGTGTTTGTGCACAGTTAGAGCGCCACTGAATTAGTGTTGCAGCTCTGCAACTACTGCCAACAAAAATTCACCAAACTGTTTGTCACACATGGCTTCAAACTGAGTTAATTCCGCCAGAGCAGAGAATGTTGATGAGTAGAGAAGGAGCAAATGTTAAATGAAAACTTTTTGAGTACTAATTTGTAATTCCACAAGAGGGAACATCGAAAAGTATAACTTCGAAAAAGAAAAATACACCACACAATACGCGAAATGCTATAAATAGACACAACGAATATTCCTATATGAAAAATCGTTGCGCATACCTATTTAGATTTATGCTTTCAATTTCTATGATATGACAAATTTATAATTATGAAAAACCTTTTGAATTAAAAATCTGTATTACCGGTAAAAACCCCAGAATTCATAATAAAATAAAATTTAATAAGCTAGTTTTCTAACTTATGTATGTGCTTCGTAAGCATATACTTATTAAATAAATGTATAATAATAAGGTGGCTGCGTGCACGTTTCACTTTGTGTGGCTTAGGTCGTAAGCGGAAGGGTTAAACATCCGAATACGAGCCTATAGTTCGATCCAAACGAATTTATTTAATTTTTTATTTTATTAATTGAGTCTAAGATATCATACAATTCTTTATAGCATATTTTACTTCCTGAGATAACTAAAATATTTCAGGAAAATATGTTCATATGTTTAGGTTTATTGAATATTTCCTTATTATGCGTATTTACACAAATGTGATAATCACACATGGCAAGAAGAAGCAAGTCATCAGCGTACGTTATTTAAGAATGTATGTGTGATTATCACATTTGTGAAATACGCATAATAAGGAAATATTCAATAAACCTAAACATATGAACATATTTTCCTGAAATATTTTAGTTATCTCAGGAAGCTAAATATGCTATTAAAGAAATTGAATTATGATATGCTTAGACCCAATTAATAAAATAAAAATTAAATAAAATTCGTTTTAGATTCGAACGTATAGGCTCGTATTCGGATTGTGCTTAACCCTTCCCGCTTACGACCTAAGCCACCACAAAGTGGAAACGTGGCCGCTTAGCCACCGTTTTATTATTATCATTTGTTTAATGTATATTGCTTACGCAACGCACATACATAAGTTAGAAAACTAGCTTATTAAATGTTTATTTATTATGAATTCTGGGTTTTACCGGTAATACAGATTTTTAATTCAAAAGGTTTTTCATAATTATAAATTTGTCATATCATAGAAATTGAAAGCATAAATCTAAATAGGTATGCGCAACGATTTTTCATATAGGAATATTCGTTGTGTCTATTTATAGCATTTCGCACATTGTGTGGTGTATTTTTCTTTTTCGAAGTTATATTTTTCGATGTTCCTTCATGTGGAATTACAAATTAGTACTCAAAAAGTTTTCAGTTAACATTTGCTCCTTCTCTACTCATCAACATTCTCTGTCTAAACACAGCTTTTTCTTGCTGTGAAACAGTTTGAAATGCAATGTAGTAAACTCTAGCAAACCGAAAAATGTCTTCGTAAGTGCTGCCTATTTTTAAGTAGCGGATATAAGCTAATGTCAAAGTATGTGTTCTTACTTTTTGACATTTCCGGAGGCAAGTTATGACTACGAAAACTCCAATACATTGAATGAATTAGCGCGGAAATTAACCGATAGTTGACCTGGCGAGTAATAAGCATCAATTACCTTGTTGTGGCCACAAGCAATAGTTGTTGTCTTGATAATTTCATAGAGGCAATATTTGCACTTGATGCTTTGAAATTTATTATATATTCTTATGATAAATTAAAAAAAATAGAAAGACGCTTGTTCAATATTGATTCAATATTTTTTACAGAGAAAGATATGGAAGATGCATACATATCTGTTGAAAGACATGGTAACATAAAATAAAATATTAAAATTAAAAATTTTAAGGAATATTAAGAGTCAGAGTCAAAATAGCAACTAATTGCGAAATTCAGCCAATTTACTTTACTTGGCAATAATAATACCAACAATCTAAAATTGCCTGTCAAGGTGCGAGGTTAAAGCCACACATATACAAAGCCTTTGTCGGCGGATGCTTGCTTGTGTTTTTATAATATTGCTATGCTCTTGGAAAATGTTGTTTTAAATATTAAAGGTTTAGCACCTTTTACCGAAATTGGACTATAAATTTGGCATGAATTATTGTCCAAAGCAACGGTACAATCTTCGAACAAATTGTTCAAATCGGACCACAATAGCTAACACACCAACTGACCGGCCGTTCCCACAACAGTCGGGTGTACGTAATCGGAACGGATCCGATTTTTTTCCGCCCAAGGACTGTGAACTCGATAGAATTCTGCCGCTACAACAACAACAACATCCGATCGAAATCAATATATAGATCTTTTTACACTTTTTTAAGCTTTAAGAAATGTACCTGTGAAGCTTCGGAATTGCCGAGGTTAGCGTTTTTTTTTATAGTTTCAACTGAAAATAAAACTGTCAAATAATTATTTCATTATAGGTAATTATTACACAAAAGTTTAGTTTATGTTAGTCAACACTTTTCTATATATTTTGGAGTAAAATTTACACAGCACCTCAAAGTCCATGCATTTTCAGCTATTTATATTTGTTTGTAAACAATTTCTAGAGATGCGTTTGACAGTTCAGTTCATTGTACACTGCACACACAAGCTCACACATGCGTAATACTCATATATTAAAGAAATATTTTTGATTGCATTCCAACAAAACTCTCCCTTAAGCTCACGCAGCCATATGCTGTTTTTTAGTGAACTCACTAGCGCTCGCTTTCGCAAAGCTTTTTGTATGCCACCCCACACCATACAAAGTTGTGAGAGCGCGAAGTCACCTAATTTGAGGCGACTACAGACCTGAATGACCACTTACTCAACAGTCTAGCTGGAGCGTTTGTAGTGCGTGGTGGGTACTTAATCGACAAAAAAATCTTTTACGCCTTTTATACACAATTTATATAAAAAGAGAGTTAATTGTTTGTGCAAATCACAGCAAAATCAAAAATAAATATTTCTATTAATTAAGTGAACGCCGATAGAATTACGCAGCGATTTCTCACACAAAAATAGCAAAAATGCATTAATAAACAAGTGAAAAGCAAATATTGTGAAAATAGTAAGCAGTAATATGAGCCAATTAACACGTAAATAATAATAGAAGAAAATAAAAAGCGTTAAAATAAGTCAAGTAAATATTTTGTACGCCGAAAATCTGAAACAGAAGTGGCGAGTCAATTTTTATTATTTTTTTTTTTCTTTCTTTGCCTAAGAAAGTGTTATATTTTATATCATTCTTACATCTAGCTATGCTGCTGTTTAGTTAATAGAAGAAAGCAAAAACAAAAAATGCCAATGTAAGCTGCATTTGACCCACTTCTGTGCAGCACCCATTTGCCACTTTGCCAGCAATTCACGGTTGCAATGCGCAGGTTGAGTGTCCGTCTATGTCGACGAATAGTGACACAAACACACCGACGAATGCGCATTGCCATTGAATTGGCTTGCCTTCGACTTTTCATTTTCGCAGCGTCGGAATGTAACGATTGCCGGCTTTTGGCATTTCTAAGTGTTCTTGTTAAGAATTTTTGTTGATTCTTCGCTAATTATTGTTGTCTTAATTGCTTGTAGGCACTCGACAATGTATAAATAATAAAATAATAATTTGTGTTGAAAATAGCTAAAAAGGTAAACAATTTAGAGAGTGAAAACGAATATACATATATAAGAATGTATGTATGTATATATGTACGTCCACGTTTGCAGATTCTTCGCTTCTACCTAATTCTTTATTTTTTAAATTCTTCCACCTCTTTTCATGATATATTCGCTATTTTTCGGCACATGTTGCGCAACTTATTACCTTTCAGCGCTATTCATTATGATATTAGCATAGAATGAGTGCTTAAAAGTGCTGTGCTAATAAACTTGAGATCTCAAAACAGTTGACAATTTGTGAATTTAAGGGCGTGAAGTATAAATGTATAAAGGCTTGTGAGTTTGCTTTATAATATAATAAAGTTGTGCATATCCAGTGATATATTATATGTGCATACAGGGTGCGGCATATCTTATGTCGATAAGTAAAAGTTGTATTAGAAGCTAGAAAAATTGTTAACTTCGCTTGTATCGAAGCTACAATACCCTTTACAAATAAAAAAATTGCTTTACTAGTGCTTGATTTCAATTGGTCAGTTTGTATGGCAACGATATGTTATAGTGGTTCGATCTCAACGATTTGTTCGGAGATTATACTGTTGCCTTGAGCAATAATCCATGCCAAATATCGTGAATATATTTTATCAAATAAAGTAAAGTTTTCCATAAAGCAACTTGAGTTGGAACGATCAGTTTGAATGACAGCTATATCTATTAGTTGTTCAATATCGGCGGACCCGACAAAAGAGAGGATTCTTAAAGAGAAGAGAGAAAAAAGCGTGTGCAAAATTTCAGATCGATGTCTCATAAAGTAAGAGTTTAGACGGAAAGACAGACAAACGGACATGACTAAGTCGTCTCAGCTCGACACGCTGATCATTCATAAATATCTATACTTTATAGAATCTCCGACGTTTCCTGCTGGGTGTTACAAACTTCCTGGTAATCTTAATATAGCCTGTTCAGGGTATAATTATATTAGGTGTAGTAAAAATTAATCCATTATTTTTCCAATAGATGGCATTATTTATCTGTTATCTCGCGTTGTTTAAGTCCAATCGGGTTCGGCTGAATGGCGTTAAAAAGATGATATTTCGTACTAAAAAAAACTTTGCAGAACATAAACATTGCACAAAAAACCGTTTGGAACCATTTGAATAAGGCTGGATACGAAAAGTAATAAAGCATTCAATTTCATGCAAAAATAATGGATTTCTTTTTACTACACATAATATAGTAATTTAATGATTTAAAAAGTAAATCATCAATCATGAGCATGTTAATAGATTAAGGATTTTTGAGTTACGTTTTAATTTTTAAAGAACCTCAAAAAAAGAACTCAGAGTGAGTCAAATTTATTGAGCTAGGTGGCCAATCAATGTGATCTCTTTTTGACAACCAACGGTTAAGGAATTTCCGTTGTAAAAGTCGCATAATTTAATTCCTCCCTTCTTATTGAAACACATAACCCTTAATAATTTTTCCAAGCTAAAATTAAATTAACAAAATTCATACAAACATATCGATTTCGATCAATTGTTTTCTTTGAACAATTATAACCCAATGATGATGATGATTTAAGCGGAAATGACAACACAAATAATCACTTTTTAGTCATGTGTCAGCGGTTTATGGATCTCCAAAAACATTTCTCTTCTCCAATTTGATTATTTTGCTTATTAATGCCGCCAAATAGCGAGTAATGGTACTCTGAACAACTATTTTCGATGTAAAGCGTCAATATTTCATTGCATTTTAACGGTTCGAAGCGATTTATTTTTAAATTAGTACTGAATTGAGATTTCTAAGGCTTGTCAAGCCGAACCCGTTAGCAAATGTCAGCGTTAAAGTTATTCGGTGTTTACATATCGAGAGATGGCGCAGCCTATATACACATATATCAATAAATGTTTATAAGTATGTGTGCGCCTACTTTTCGAATTTTTTTCATATTTATTAATGTCTAATAAATACTCAAAACTTATGGCTTAACATTTTTTAGCTTACATGCGTACATTGTTAGCCACGCTGATAACCGCAACTATACATTTAAAACTGTTGGTTATTTTCAAAAAAGTGCTGCAACGTAGCATTTGCTGAAATTGTTTTGGCATTTTAATAAAATATAAAAAAGAAGTTTAGGAAAAGATTTAAATTGTTTACGCTTTTCATACAAAAATCAGCGGCAAGCAGGTAAATCTTGATATCTTGATATATATAATTAATTTATTGTTCAGTAAATATTTAATAATTACTCCAATTAATTAGCATAAATGTGCATATGAGCATACTAAATATGCCAGTTGCTACACACATACAAGTACATACAAACATGTTGTGTAGTCAAGTGTTGTTTTTTGTCATGCAATGCGAACCGCGTGGGGCGATTTCTTTAATTTGTTGTACTTTTGTAGATTTCTAATGCAAATAAACATTATATGTATATACAGAAACAAAGCCAGAAGCGAGCGTAAATATTATATAATATAAGTATATGTACATATAAATAATGATAGCGAATCTAGCTTGCTTCAAAGATATGAGGGCTCATAAAGTAGCGAGAAAAAAATGGAGCAATAAACTTAAAAAAAAAAAAGTTAAAACTAATCTAGCGTTTTCGAAGCACATTTTTAATACACACTGCAGTATTTCGATTATTTAATTTTTTTCCATCTACTTTCAACATAAATTTAAACTTTTTACTTAAGCACCGAAAAGTTCACTGTGTCACAATATTTATGTATGTATATGTAATTATTATTTGTGTCATAAATATGCTAACGTTTACACGCTCACTATCTCAGAACAACTCAGTTTCAAATGATTACGGGCGTAGAGAATCCTAAATCATACCGTTAAACCTTTATTAAAAACGTACCGAACAAGTAAGAAAAAGCTAAGTTTGGGTGTAGCCGAACATTTTATACACTCGCAATTTCAAAGGAAAAGCCGAAAGGATCTTTTTAGGAGTTGACAAAACTTGTTAATAAAAAATTTAGCTTAAATGTTCAACATGAATGATTTACAATCAAATTTGATATCTTATTAACTTCTGTATATTATAAGTTATAGACTTCGTGTTTGAAATATTTAAATATAATAAAATCAATCTCATTAACTCAAATGAGATTTATTTGATATAAACTCAACCAAAGAGGCTAAATTTAAGATATGGGGTATATGAAGAAAGCATCAAGCAGTGGATCGAGAATCATTATATTAGGGATATGAGGTTTAGTCGAAGGTCTAGACCAATTTCATTCATATTCAGCGTTTAACCTCATTATTTTTAGGAAAACCTATCCACTTAATTTCATTAAAATATAATATAAATCACACGCTAATCGCGCATATGTCGGCATAAAGTCTGCTAATATAACGAAAATTAATATAAGGTAATAGTATCCACTATTATAAGTTCATTTAATTCTTTTGGATATCTTCCGGAAATTTGAAAATCGTTATATTAAGGGGTTAGGGGAAGTATTTGGCACACTATTGTCGAGAAAATATTCACGCTATATTATACAATATGTCACAGAGGTTACTGAAATTTTAATTAAAAATCAGCTATAAACACTGAGGTTCATATATTTGGTATCTGGCGGACTTGAAAGATGGACTGGTCCAATTTGTATTATTTTTGGACGTGAGATGGCTTAGTTTAGAGGGCCTATTTGTGCAAGGATTTATTCCAATAATTTTAAGTGTTTCCTGAGATATAGAACTTCACCAAAGGTGGGCGGTGCCACATTCACTGTTCAATTTTGATACCGGCCCCTATGAAGCTCTTTTGGACCATCTCGGGCGTAAAATTTAGTATATCTAACGCATTTTGCATTGCATTGACGCTTATGAAAGATTTTGTTTCTACAGGTACGCCTTTTACATAAATTGGTTTTAGAAAAGAACATCAATTTTTCAAATCCATTGCAAGCACTTGTGTGAAGTTTATACTTGTATATAAGAGAAAATATTGCTTAATTCGCAATATAATCATTTGTAAATTATTCCGCGATTTCTTTAGACGACTCTACCGATTTTAAAGGTTCAAGGTACAGTTTATTTGCAAGATTCGCGTCAGACTGTTCAATAATTATATATAATATTTTATTTAATTACGCGTATGCATGTACATTAGGACCAGAAAGTTTCCGGAAATTGTTTTTTTTTTCGATATTCGCGGTTTGGTTCATTATGAATTCGTTCCAACGGGACAGACGGTCAATAAATTATATTATGTAAACGTTTTGAGGCGTTTATGCAGTAACATCCGTCGTAAACGGCTGAAATTGTGGGTTAACAATTCATAAATTTTTCATGACGATAATGCGCCATCGCACCGAGCTGTAGTTGCGAACGATTTTAAGACCAAAAACTCGTTCACTTCCATCGATCAGCCACCGTATTCACCCGTTTCGACTCGATTGCGGCCGTATAAGAAAATTCGCAGAGGGAACTGAAGACGATTCCGGAAAGCGCCTACAACAAATGTTTCGATGATTGGAAAAAGAGGTAGCATATGTGTATCGCTTCAGAAGGAGCATATTTTGAAGGCCACAAAATAAGAATTGATGAAGATTAAAATGTTTTAGTTTTATTTACAATTTCCGGAAACTTTCTGGTCTTAATGTATATATATAATTTGATGCAAAGTCGTTTGAGAATATTTATAAATTTAATAGAGAAAAATCTTTATGAACATTTCTAATCATACATCATTAAATTTTTATAAGCTTAACCTAAACCTCCACCTACATTGCGTGAAAGAGTCTTATCAGTTGCCTTCAAAAATACACTTCAGCTTCAGCTTTGTACCCATTTTGTAAGGCATTTTTTTTAAAGATTAACTGAAATGTTTTGTAATATTCTTTTCTTTCTACGCTTTGTAACATTGAAGACATACTTTTATTAGTGTAAAAAATAGATACAATTAAAATTAATGATGAGAGATCAATATTCATAGAAACATAATCTACTTACACAAAAACTAATTATATTTAAACATATAGTTCAAATATTCATGTATTATAATATATATATATATATATGTATGTCCGTCTGTATAAGTAAATATAAGTGCGGGTTATCAACTCAAAGCCCAATACTACTGCAACGCTACTAATTTTTAAGCTAAATAAACAGGTGAAGAGCACTCAAAAGTCAAGTGGAAAATCTGTTAGTAGTAGACAAATATTGATTGATATTGAGTGGTGCGCTTTTGTAGGTGTGTATTGTATTATTTACTCAGAGAAATACCCCACAAAAAAATTATTTGTAAAATCACTACAAAAAGGTTTAATAAAAACATATAGGAAAGGATTGAGAGGTACTAAAAATTGTCTCTGAGACACTTAAGCATTTGGGGCAAGCTCTTTTATGTCTTAAATATACTCAGAGATTTTTAGTTTGGCTGCCGAAGGGTGACCGATATTAAAACCAAAAACTTTCTTTTATAATTTTTGGCATATCAAACATTTATTTTATAGACTTTATGGTTATAAGAAGTCTGACGTTCAAATTTTTATAAAAAGTGTATTTTGTATCTTAGATAACTTTTATATTTGTGAAAATACTTGTAGCAAACAGCTGTTGTTTTATCAGCTGTTTTCTTTGTGACAAATTTTCAATGATAAAAATTATTTAAAATAGCTTTAGCTGACATTTTTAGTTATTCTGAGGCATGATTAAATATATTCAATGTCTTCTGGTTATATAATGTCAAGGAATCAAAATTTGGTGCTTAAGGGTCACAGCTAGTGTAACAACCTAAAAAAGGCGATTTTTAAGAATTAAAAAAAAAACACTGCTATACCTGTAGTTGTTTTAAACTTGATTTTATTTTATATATTTTTTTGAGTTACACGCAATCTCTGATGGCGTTAAAAAAATGTCCTCCCCTTCTGCAGTAATGCCGTCATTCTCCTTGGATGAAACATACAAAGCAATATTATTTACGGTCGAAACAGAATCCAAAAATAGACAAAATTGTGACGTTTAAAAAAAACTTGAATTTTACCCAAAATGTTGATCGTTTTTTGCCGGCCTTAGATCAGATCTAAAAACTTGTATGTCTTTGTATGGAGTATTGTAAACAGAGCTTCCTGAAAAGATTTGATAAAAATTATTTGTCTCTGAGTAATCACTCAAGCAATTTTGAAAAATCTAGTTTTGAGAAAAACGCATTTAAAGATAAACTGATTACTGAGCGGCTACACTTTAGAAGGCTGTAACTGGAATAATATTTGAAATATTAATTTAAAATTTTAGTATGTTATTTTTAAATTTATCAACATATAAAAAGATCGTTTGTTTTTTGATTTCACAATGGACCCTAAGGTCCATATATTACTTTTTATTTTTTAAATTAAATTTTAACAAAATTTTGCCTATTGTTTTTAAACCCACACAAAATTCAAAAATGATATATTAAGTAATATAATTACCATTTATTGTATATGTATACCATATATACATACATATGTATATACATAAATGCCTCTGTTTTTAAACATTTTTAACCCCGTTCACCGTTTTGCCAAAATATGTGAATTTTATGAATGTTTCTTAAACCCAAAATATACGCAAATTTCTTTTTGTTTAGCTTGCAGCCGTTAAGCAGCAATTAAATAAATTTATATATATATTTTGACATGAACCATAGGCATATGTATATATGACTTTTTTAGACTTTAATTTGTAGAGGTACGTACTTCAGAGAATGTAGATTATATATATTTTACATTCTCTGCGTACTTGACCGTCTGCCAAAAAAGCTGAGAATGAGAAGACAACGAAAATGCTCTCCTAACAGCACCACGCTCTAAAAACTGCCGCAGCTTCCGTTAGCTGAAGCGGGTGCGTGACTCAGCTAAAAGCTCAACGTAAACAAATTGTCACTTCTGTAATATGTACGGTGTAATATGTACGGTGTCGATTTTTTGACATTTCCGCCAAACGCCATATTCGCATTGCGCTTCCATTGTTGGTTGGGCGTTTGCAGAAAACACAAAAGTTAAATGTCAAGTTACAAGCAAAATTGTGTATACAAAAACAAAACGAAAATTAGCGTTATTATTATATACACGCTCACTACCACTTATATATCACCTGGTTTCTCTCTCTCTCTCTCTCTCTCTCTCTCACTAATTCTTCTTCTTACTTTATCGTATATTCTCTGTTTATTTTTTAGCAACTCATACTAACAACAACTTCCAGCGCCATAAAAAAGTTAACAGCACCAATACCAACCACCAACCATCAACCAATACACACACACAAACACCAGGAAAGCGAACTTTAACATCGATACCAAAACAAAATCAAACAGGAAGAGGCACAACAAAAACAAAGCCGATAACATGAATCGCATCAGTACTGCCGTCTATCGCCATTGGAAGTAAGCAACCCTAGTTGAAATTGTAGTTCGCAGTTCACTTTGACGTTTCTGTTTGTCAACGCGTTGCGTTTCGTATCAGTCAATTCAGTCATACATATTTACATACAGTAAATATGTGAATTTATAAAATCGCATTAATATTACTTACGCTTTATCTCACCACTTTAATTCGCTGCTATTTGTCGTTTACTGTACACACTTTCTTTACCGCTCTCCACTCGAAAACGCTCGTACATAGCAGCCAACGCGTCGCATTTGATTTGCCTACTTTTGGTTATTTGTGCACATATAATACACAGTCGCTCGAGACGCGTTGGAAGAGTTGTGTCGTTGTAGGCCACAGTCGCCGTCGTTGTCGTTGTAATCCATCATTTTTCGCAAAACATTTGACAAACATAGTGGAAGTGTACGAATCGCATCGCGCATGCAACAAACGCTTGTTTATTTGCTTCTAGAAAATTGAAAATTAGAAATTAGTGAATTGCAGATTTTGTAAAGACTTACTGTACTTCATTTCTTACGTTTAATTTAGTGCTTCGCTAGCGAACATCGCGCAGGCGAATACCAGCCGTAGTTGTAGACTCTCGGCAGCAGCTTTCATAAACGCCAAACGCGAAATGTCCTCGTCATCGTCGCATAATGCCGCCGCGTCGGACAAATGTCTGTCGCTGGACAACATAAATCCACAATTCATTGAGTTGGAGTACGCTGTGCGTGGTCCACTAGTCATACGTGCTGGACACATTGAGAAGGAGTTGCAGCAGGTAAGTGCCGACTCTAAGTTGTATGTATAAGAAGACGAATTAAGCGTCGAAAAACTCTAAAAATTCTCATTCACAACTTTTACTATTTAAAACAATTGCTTTCAAAAATAATTGTGCTCACAGTTTTATATATTTTATTTCTAGCTAATTTTCTCTCTGACACTCACTTTTAATCAATCCCTTTGTTTATACACGAATGTCATTATTCCAATTGGCATAAGTGTCCTGCCAAAACATTAGGAAGGTAGGCTTTAAGATCAGCTGTTTTTTAACTGCTATTAAAACATTTTAAGTTTATGATTTTTTTTTAACTCTAACCTAATTTTTAAATATATAATAAACAGAAGAAAAATAGAAAGTTTTATGATATTTCAAACTAAAAAATTATAAATATTTTTAGATATCTCAAAACTGGTAGTTTTTATCAGAATTGGTACAATAATATAATAGAAATATTAGAAATAAAAATATAATAGTCTTAGAATGGTAGTATGGAGCACTTACAACCATCTTTAATTATTACACGTAAAGCAATTATTATTTTTTTATAGATAATATTTTTTTTTGCAAAAACAAAGAAATATAAAAATAATTATGAAAATGTGTACATTTAGAGGACAAATTGAGCTTTAGATTTGTTCGGCTCTTCTAAATTTTTATTAAAATAATTTAGAAAATTTTACTGCTGTGAGCGAAATCCGCCCAATAATCTTATTAGATTGCTAATGAATAAAAACAGAAGGCAAAATGAAAAACATGTGACTTAAATTTATATACAAGAATAACAAAAAACAAACAATTCTAAGTTATACACTAATTAGTTATTCAATGAGCATTTAATTTGCACAAAACTCAGTTCATTAAGTCAGCCGGCGAAAAAAGGTCAACAAATTGAAATAATCGATGCATAAAATTGAGAGCTTAGCTTTTGGGGTTGGGCTAATCAAAAATATTAAAGTAATTTCAAAAAAATTACTGAGTCATGTGCTAATATACGAACGGTTTGTGATAGGAATTTTACAATAACCATAGGAATTTTACTAAAAAAAAGTGCGTTAAATTATTTTCCCGTACCTTATGTAAAGTCAAAACTTTATAGCAATTTTCAAGAATGAATAGCGTTCTTATAAATATGTAAATCTTCTTTTGTAAGCATTCATGACTAAAAATCTCCCTGTTAAAGCAAATTAATTATAAAACTAGAATGCATATTAGAGATATATTAATTCAATACTACTAACTAGCGGCTTGTTTTAATTTTTCTGTTACTTTCACCTGAATATAAGTTTGTTTTGTGCATAAAAAGTGTAAAATAAAAATTAGTGTTTTTTATCCTCCACGCCATGTGTACATACCCTAATATATGGTAAGGCGCAAACTGGTTTTCAAGAGGTTTCGCTCATTACTTTTGACAATTGTACTCTACTATTCATTGATTCGTATTCGTATATGCATATTATCTAATGGCGCTGTTAAAGTAGAGACGTAAGTATATGCAATTGCACTAGTTTACAAAGAAAATTCAATTCAAACAGCGTTTATGAAACAAAAAGTTCGCCTCTAGTTTACTAAAGTTCAATATACGTTGATTCTACTTCTACTTTCTTATATCTTTGCTAATTTCATATATAAATTTATAAGAATTGTTAATAAATTCGAACACGCTTTGAAAATATTTGAATACGTATTTAAATGCATGCTAATAAAAATAAGTAGCTGGTATAAAAGTATATACATATATATATTAGGGAGTGACAAAAACAACGATTTTTTTTTTCGCTTGGTACTCTGTAAAATAAGTTCTTGAAATGGAATGCTTTACAAAAACGTTTCATATGATTTTTTTGTAAACCTTATTGTTTAACATATATTTACGTTTAAGGTTTGATTATTTAAAAGCAATTTTTTTCTTATAACTTTTAAAACTCAATGAAAAAAAAATCATTTTAAATTGCAAAATATGAATTTTTTCTATCTGATAATAAAAAAAAAAAATAAAAACTATAAGGCGGAGGACATTCCCGTTACAATTAAGAGCTCATACTTGGAAAGGTTTTCGTAAATAGGTCTAAGAACTTGTTCACCAAGCGAAAAGAAATCGTTGTTTTTACTTACCCTAATGTATATATATCTTTAATATACCATAAATTTATATTGCTTTACACGCTCATACCGCTGTCTTATACATCCATATATAATATTTATATTGTTGCCTTTATACAAAGTCAGCTATCATTCGAGAAAACAAAATATTCATTCCAAACCGAAAGCAAACAAACATGTCTAAATATTTGCTTAGAATATGTAGATATGTATATATATATATATATGTATGTTTGCATGGAGAGAGCGGAAAGATAAGTATTCGCAAACCAATGTGAAAATAGCGCAACACCACGAAAACTAATTTAACAATTTATCACATAAAACGAAAAGCGGATGCATTTGCCACTCGGCGAAAGGGGATCACCGTCATTTATCTACCCACCAACAAGTTTACCGGCATACTTACATATTTACCAATTTGCGAGTTGCTGCATTGCATTTTATTAGAGCCCACTTGATTCTAATCAAAGGCCAGTTAGCTTTGCTAGACTTATATGTGCGTCAGATGCTGGATCTATGTGTGTTTACGTTTGAGCGCTACGAGTATAAATTTATGGTGTACAAATATGTACGTGATGCCCTGTAAAATTATAAGCGAACTCGCGATATATTATATATTGTACATACATATGTATTTATAGAAATATTTACAGATTGTATTGTAATTGTGTTACTGCCTTGCTGCTACTTGTTTATTAGCTTATTTAGAAGCTTTTCACATGCAATTACTAATTTTTGTAGATACTAATAGATGTTAGTAAATATTTAGTTCGAGATCGACAACTGATCCGCACTAATGCTGAAATTCTGGCCAGCCGGTTTTAGGCGTTGCATTCGAAATTCGTTGGCAATTTTGCTATCGAACACGATTTTTAGTAAATATATTGTGACTTTTGACCAGTGCGGAAAATCCTTTCAAGTCTTATGCTTTGTCCTAAAACAATATTTTTCGATTTAAAAAATATATATTTTTAAATAAGCAAAACATCATGAAATTCTACTCAGAGTAAAAAGTTTATGCAACAATAAGCAATTTTACAGTTACGCTATTCGTTTTCCTTATGGGGGGAAAAAAAAATAATAACCGCCTCGTTTGATATTTGTTTTTATAATTGATATTTGAGTGGCACTTACATACGTATACATACATTTACATGAATATGTACATTTAGTCATGAAAAATTAATTATTTTTATTATTAATACACCCACAAGCTCGTGATTGTTGTAAGAAAACGAAATATTAAAACGGAAAAGCCGTCTTCAGCCGAAGCATAACCGTCTGTTTACTAGAGTATTACACAAATTTATTGTTGTACATACTATATATCTATATATGTATAGTAAATGGTAATATATACTGATGCCTTAATGGTCATATGCGCAGGCAAGGACAAGTGGCACGCTCGCATTGAGTCCTTCCTTTGCTTAGTCTGAATGGAAAATTGATTTTCACTTAAAGACAAGGCAGCTATGGTCCTTATTGTAAATTGTATGTAGAAGAAATGTAGTAAGGCGAACTGAATTTCGGCCGAACTCAATATTTTTGTTATAGAATATATAAAATATTCAACAATTATTATAATGTCATATAAGGCACCATAGCATTAGAGGAAACTTTGTGGTTATAAGAATGTGGCACCCTAAGGAGCAGGATCTGGCATAAGCCTTATGATAATCATCACTTTATACCTTGAGCAGAGTAATGTAACAGAATTTGTAAAGCCCTAAAGGAGACGTCAGTGTCACGAGCTCAGTTGATTTTACCATGTGCGTTTGTCTGACCGTCTATATACTTATATGAGAATTATTTTCGAGATATCGATCTAAAAATTTGCACACGTCTTTTTCTTCCCGAAAAGTTATTATTTTGTGGAAACCGCCGATATCGGACCACTATAGGTTATAACTGCCACACAAACTGATCGATCAAAATCAAGTTGTTGTATGGAAAACTTTTTTATTTGAGAAATCATCTTCACGAAATTTTATGTTGAAGGTAGCGCTTTAATATTAGCGCTTATAGTAGCTTCCATTTCAATATTAGAATTCAGATATTGTTTAAATCGGTCCACTATAACATATAGCTGTCATACAAAATGGCCAATCAAAATCAAGAAAAAGTTTTTTTTATACGCTTTTTTGATAAAAAGTTTAATAGTTTTTTAACTCCTAGCACATTTGTCACAGTGAGAGATTCTTTACGAATCATATAAAATTTCTTTTCGTAGAACACTTCGTGAATACTTTACTCTAATATTATATTTACTCACTTTATATACAAATATGTATTATATATAGTCACTATATTTTCGAAAATCCTTCTTAACGTTCTTACTACTGACAAGTATCTAAAGGTGAGAAGTCATAGAGAACTATCCAGCTAGCATGACTTGTATAGAGACATGACCCGTTATGCTGATTATACGGGTATACTTATGTATGTGTCATTTGCTAAACCAGTTCATAATACCTTAACATATAACCCCTAGGTTCAAAAAAAGATTCCATAAATAATTATATAAATGTGCAGGCATTTAATATACTTTAATGCATTTACCTACATACACACATACAAATAAAGTTATAGTTATGCACATATATTTAATAGTAGACATTTACTGGCAGCTCATGTGGCTGAAAATGCTTTCAAATGGCATTACCTCATGTAATCACATTGACGAATACGTCATGTTTACATTAGTTCACCTTATTACTATTCTTTTCTTTGCCAAAACTCATTTGCATTTCACTACTTGCTAATTTTGTGTTTATTGCTGGTCATTAATCTTGAATTTGCATAAAATTTATGGCGGCGTGTGAGTCAAGTTAACTACAAAGCAGCTTGTTTTTCAAAGTAACCGTAAAAAGTACAAAAAGATCAATAAAATGTTA